CGGTTGTCCCTGACTGTGCCCGTGAGATCTTTGCCAAGAGCTGCTGGTGACACAAGCCTGCTGAGATGGGAGGTCAGTGCCGGGCTGTGTGTGGAGCAATGGGGTCGGAGCTGGGCTTTAAAGGGCCCTGGCTGGGTGCAAGGTGCTACAGGTATTATCTGTCTATTAGTTATCTGTGCTGCATAGCACATGACCCAACACCGAGGGGCTTAAAGCAACAAGCATCTATTATGTCAGGCTTTCTGTGGGTCAGGTGTCTGGGCGTGGTTTAGCTGGGTGCCCTGGCTCAAGGTCTCTCGGGAGGTTGTAGTCAAGGCGCCAGCTGGGCGGCAGTCACCCCAGGGCTGCCCAGATCACAGTGGACAGTAGGTACACTCAGAAGCGTGTTTCCTCAGCTCCACTCTGTGACCAGGTGGCTGGGGGGTGAGCCCTGTCCTGCCCTGCTGGCTGCTCCCCAGGGGCCCACAGCAGCCTGGATTGCACAGGTGACCTTTATTATTTTTTTTTTAATTAATTTAGTTTTGGCTGCGTTGGGTCTTTGTTGCTGCGCACGGGCTTCTCACTGTGGTGGCTTCTCTTGTTGCAGAGCATGGGCTCTAGGCGCGTGGGCTTCAGCAGTTGTGGCACGTGGGCTTCAGCAGTTTTGGCACGTGGGCTCACTAGTTGTGGCTTAGTTGCTCCGCGGCACATGGGAATCTTCCTGGGCCAGGGCTCGAACCTGTGTCCCCTACATCGGCAGGTGGATTCTTAACCACTGCGCCCACCAGGGAAGCCCTGCACAGGTGACCTTTAAAGCCCCAGCTGGACTCTGAAGAGGAGTTTCTCCAGACCTCCCCCTTGAGGCCTCTCTCTGCTCACTGTGCCCACCACCACCCGGGGCCTTGAGAGAAACCTCCTCTGCCCACCTCTTCCTGACTCCCACAGTGCTCTGCTTCAGATCATGCTCGGGACCAGACACACCCATGTTTCCTGGAAGCAGCAGAGGGAGGCTGATGCATTGAGAATGACTTCAAGAAGCCTGGGAATGCCTCGGGGGAATTCCCCCAGAGAATGACGTGATCACGGTGGCCTGTTAGCAGGCTCTGGTTCACTTTTTGGGTTCTCACCCAAGAACCTCTCTTCTGGGCTCCCTGTCAGCTTCCCATGACAGATGCTCTCCTGGACCCCAGTCCCCCAGATGGAACCAAGAGAAATGGAGTCCAAGGCCTCCTACCTAAGGCACATTGTCCCAGGGACAGACACCAGCATTGATCGTTCATGAAAACCCCACCCCATGACCACAGCAGGGCCTCCTTCACTCCCAGTCCCTCCTGGAAGGCTCTTCAGGACCCCTGTAACTGCATACCCTATGGCGACCACAACATTCACCCCTGCCCGGCACACGGGCAGCCTGGGAGAGGCCGGAGGTATTCTGTATCTGAGGGCAAGGCTCAGGCCTGGCATTTAGTAGGTGCTCTGAAAACATGTCTTCTGAGTGAATCTTGTAGAAAGGGCCCTGGCAAGTGTGAAGAGAGGGGTTTGACCACAGTTCCAGTACTTTGAGGCTGTGTGACCATGGGCAAGCTTCTGTCCCTCTCTGAGCTTCAGTTCTCTCATTTACACAGTGGAGATCAGAACGTATAAACTATTGGCTCAGAGGCCCTAGCTAGGTTGTAAATATGTTGTTTAGGGCTCATTCAGGGTTTAATTTTATTTTAAAATGAGTTCCCAACATTTAAAAGTTGGGAGATTTCCACTAAACATAATGTTTTTAGTTTTTATTGAAAAATGAAAAGATCTGGCTACACTGGACCCATTGTCCACATACAAAAATTGACTGGCCTGGGCAGGAGCTGCCCCTTTAATTGTGGTGTTTGGACACAGTCCCACGTCCACGTATTCCCTATAGCCTTGCCCAGCACACTTCATCCCAGTGTGTCTCTGCCTGGCCCCAACCGGTATATGAGTTTGCAACCCCTGGATGTCAGCACGTCCTGACTGTTCTTTGGCTCTGTGAGGCCTAAAGATGGCATTACAGGGTCCCTGAGTGATGAAATCCATTAACACCCTGGATAAGAAGCCGCTTGGGCTGAGTGGAGAGAAACTGCTGTTTCTGAGGATGACACAGAGTCTATAAATAGCCATAGAGGCTGAGTGGTGACACCTACCCCATCTCACCTGGGGATGGGCATGTTTCAGTTCATGGCTCAGCCCAGAGACAGTCCTTGCTCCTGATGCCACTGAGGTCAGCACAGGTAGAAATGATTTCACAGCTGAGCCTGTGGGGAAGGCGGAATTTTCTCTGGTTCAGGCAAGAGGGAGTGATGATGTTTGATTTTTCAAAGAGGGTAGAAGGTGTAACATGGTGGGGATGAAGGATTGCACCATCCCTGACTCCCCAACAATGTTAGACCTCAGCCTGGCCTTCAGGATTTTCTGTGATTGCCACGCCCCTTCCCCTGCCAAGCTTTCAGTTCATGATCAATATTGTAGCCTTTCTTTGAAGATGCCCTGACCTCTCCTAGCTCTGGGCTGGCTTTGGCTTATTCCCCCTGTGGAATCTCCTCTCTGCATCTTTTTGTCTCTGCCCCTCAAATGCAGTTGTCTCCAGGCTGACCCCCTAGGCAGAAACAATTTCCCCTGTCCCCTGAGTTCCACAGTCCCCCAGCTAACTCAGTTTCTATCTTGTTGTGTCGTCTGTCCAAGGTTTGTCTCTCTTGCCCTCCCCACCCTGTCCCAATTACCAGCTCCTCAACAATAGTGACATATGCAAACCCTGATCCTGGAGTCAGACAGATTCCTCCCAGCTCCAACATTTTGCCCTTGGGCAACTCACTCCCCAGCTCTTGGGGCCTTGCTTCCCTATCTGTGCAATGGAACTGCTTCTCAGGCTGCAGTGGAGAGCAGCCAAGCTAAGGGCTAGGCAAGGGCTTTGGGAACTAAAGTGGTTACATGAATGAAAGCAGCTCTTCCCTGGGTTAGGGCTGCTCATACTCCATTGGGTGGGAGATAAACTGAGGCCCTCCAGGAGCCGGCTTGAGAGACAATAGGGACCACTAATATATTTGGCATAGCTAAGGGCTATGTGAGCCAAGGGCCTGGAACCGATATGTGGGGTGATTCCTCTCTTTCTCTTTTGAATCTGCAGTATACACTGATACGGGGGAGTATCTGCGAGATGTGCTGAGGGCCCAGATGGGGCAGGAAGCAAGCCAGCTTCCTACTCAGGCCTGTTCTACTTCAGGGCACAATCACAAAAACGGAGAAGCCATTCCCCAGAACAGAGTGAGGCCCCGTCCTGGGCTGGGACCTGGGGAGCATCTGGGCTCCAGGATGCAGCTGGAGTATCATTGAATGCAGGCCCCTCCTGGGCCAGGAATAGCGAAGGGGACTGTGGACTTCCAGAAAAGGGTCAAGCCAGCATTCTCATGAGGTTAAGACACTTTGACCCCTTGAATTGGCTTGGGTCAGCATTTTGCTTCCTGACTCCTTCCCAGGAGTCAATTCAGAGCCTGGGGCAGGTCAGTTTAGAGCTGGTCCCAGCTGAAGTCCACCTGATTCCAAGGCCCAGAACCCACCCTCTTCTCTGGCCCCTCAGAACTCTGATCCCCTGCAGCTGAGGCCCATTACTGACTGAGCCCCAAACCCTGAGCAAAGACCATCTGGACGGGACTTCCCCAGTGGCACAGTGGTTAAGAATCCGCCTGCCAATGAAGGGGACACGGGTTCGAGCCTTGGTCCGGGAAGATCCCACATGCCATGGAGCAACTAAGCTCGTGGGCCACAACTACTGAGCCTGTGCTCTAGAGCCCGCAAGCCACAACTATTGAGCCCATGAGACACAATTACTGAGCCCACGTGCCACAACTACTGAAGCCCGCGTGCCTAGAGCCCACGCTCCACAACAAGAGAAGCCACCGCAATGAGAAGCCCACGCACCACGACAGAGTAGCCCCCGCTCGCCGCAACTAGAGAAAGCCAGCATGCATCAACAAAGACCTAACGCAGCCAAAAATAAAAATTAAAAAAAAAAATGACACATACACACACAAAAGAATCAGAGGTTTAAAAAAAAAAAAAAGACCATCTAGACTCTGTCCATCACTGATGCTCATGGCACAGTACTTAACAGCTGACAAAGTCCTCTCTCTCTTCATTTTATCCTTGGAACAGACCTGGAAAACAAGCAAGGTAGGGATTAGCATCACCCCCTATTCTGCAGAGGGGAAACTGAGGCCCAGAAGCTCTGGGAGGACTGGCAGAGGCTGGCTGCAGAGACTCCAGGGTTCCCCTACCTCTAGGCAGTGCCTTCATCTCTCTGGGCCTCATTTGCACATATGGAGAGTGCAGGTGTTGGCTCGGATGCTCTCTCAAGTCCCCTGTCTGTCATTCATTTCCTGTGGGCCTCCCATGCCCCCAGGCTTCTGGGAAGCCCACCTCAGCATGTGGGGTAAATCCCCCTCACTGTGGTTTCTCCCGCTCAGTTCCCCTTCTCTTCCTGTCTTGCCTTCTTGCTTTTCCTTAGACTGGTCCCTGTGGTATGTTATCTGCAGGTGCAGTTTTGGGGTGAGTGGGGGTGGGAGGGGAGCTAGCAGCCGTCTGTCCTGGTTGCTGGGGATCAGGGCTGTCAGTCTATGGGGTCGGGGAGGAAGAGCCAGACCCAGTCCTGGTGGAGGACTGGGGGCCTGGTAAGAGCACGACAGGCCCAGGCTGAGTCTGGAAGAGGGACTGGTTTCTAGAAGCATCTGGAGACAAGCCCAGGATAGGACAAGGAGGCCGGTGGTCACCATGGGAGGTGCCTGCCTGCCACCTCTCGCTCTAATCCCGCTTCTCATCTCCACCTTTCTTTGACTGACTCTCAGTGCCACGGTCTCTCCTGGACCGCCTGTCTGTCTACAGGGCCTATGGGGCGAGGGGCAGCCGTACAAAAGTCTCAAACGTAGACTTTTGTTATATTCAATGAAAACATATGGATGCTCGTATTTTGGAGTTAACCACGTTTTAGCATTTTCCCCTTTTTTCATCTATTGGGACCCTCGCAAAATGGAACCGGCCTCCTTTTGCGAAGTCTTGTCTGCCCCTCAGGTCTCTGGCCCTGGATGGGGTGTGTTCAGAAGACTTCACGCCCCACCGCCCCACCGGCCGGGCTGCGCTGCCCGCTGGGGCCAGCAGGGGGAGCCCGCGGTCAGGCCGGAGGGGGCGGGATGGAGGCGGGGCCACGAGGCCGGCTGGGCCAATAAAGGCGGCTGCACGCCGCTGCGGCTAACTCCGCCCTTTGGGCGCCCGTGACCCTCGCTTCTGGAGTCTCTGCTGGCCCGTGGCTCTCCTGCCCGGACCCGCACCCACGATGCTGGCGCTACGCTGCGGCCCCCGTCTGCTCGGCCCCCTCTCCGGCCCGCGCTCTGCGCACCTGCGCCTACCCGCGGCCCGCGCTTGCAGCAGCGGCTCCCGAGACCCGTCCTCTTCCTCCCGGAACCCGCTCGTGTACCTGGACGTGGGCGCCGACGGGCAGCCGCTCGGCCGCGTGGTGCTGGAGGTGAGACCACCGGACAGGACCGTGCTGGACTGGGCGTGGGGGACGGTCGCGGAAGAGCTCTGGACCCCGGGCCGGCGCTGTGCCTGGCTCGCTGAGTGACCTTGCTTCCTGCTCCTGGGCTCTGGGCCTCAGTTTCCCCATCTCTAAGGAGGGGCATCAGATTGGTCTCTCCAGGCCTCCCCTCAGAACTTTGGACTAGTGGAGGCGGGAGGGAGGCCCCTGTGGAGGAGAAAGCTCAAGGTCAGATCGTAGGCTAGGAGGGCCCGCCCCGTTGGCCGGGGTCGGGAGGGGCTCCGAGACTTAACGGGGCGGGATCCTAGGCCCGGAGCTTCGAGATGGGTTTCGGGGGCCTGCGGGGTCCGGGCGGCGGGCCCGGCTGGGCGCTCACACTGTGGCCCTTGCAGAAGGCGGAGCGGGCCCCAGCCCCGACCTCGCCATTGGGCTCTCGGAGTAGCAAAGGTGGTTTCGGGCCGCCTCCTCTCCCAGCAGGGCGGCTGGCCCGGCCTTGGGCTCCAGCCACCAGAGCAGGCATAGAGCTCCTGGAGTCGAGGCAGTGTGCTCAGAGCTCATCGCCACAACTCCATCCCCAGCCACCCTTCCGAGGTGACACTCTGCATCTGCCCTGGCTCTTCGGGCCTTTTTGAAAAACAGAGCAAGAGACATACCTAGTAGTCCGGAAGGTAACAGAGGAGAAGCTTGGGTGTAGCCTTCAAGCCCATTTTGAACAAAGGGGCCTCAGTTAAGCCTCAGTTCACTCTTCTGGAAAATGGAGAAGACCTTTATTTTAAAGGTTCGGTGCCAGTGCGGCTCTTGCAGCTGGGAGGCAAGAGGCAGGCTTAGATGGGACTCCAGCCTCCCCTTTCCCCCACCCCTCCTGCCTCTCTCTGAGCCTCGGTTTCCCATCTGCCCATTGAGGAGCTTGGACTGGCTCCTCCCCAGGGCCCTCTTTCCAGGCCTTGAGTCTCTGATGCTTTGGGCCCAGCTGAAGTGGCTCTGCCAGTTCTGCCCCTAGAAGTAGTCCAGGATGGTGTTGGCATCTCTTCTGACAAGTTAGGAAATTGAGGCTGCCTCCTCCCAGCCTGGAGTTCAGGAAGCAGCTGGCAGAAATGATAGCTGCTTAGGTGGCCTCCCACGGAGGGCTGGAAGTGACAGGGATGTGCTTTCCCCCTCTCCTGGGCCACCGTGCGGGTTGGGTCCCTCTTTCACCTGCCTCTGGACTGACCGTCTTGTCCCTCTTCTCTCCCCACAGCTGAAGGCAGATGTCGTCCCAAAGACAGCAGGTAAGTCAGGACCCAGGGCCTTCTGAGTTCAGTCTGGATGGAAGAGAGAGGGGCAGGGCAAGGTGGGGGGGGGTGGTGAGAGCAGTTGGGGCGTGAGAACCGTGACTAGATGGGAGCTGACGTGTGGCTCAGCTGCTGAGCACCTGGGGCAGCCACTGGTCCTCTCTGAGCCTTAGGGTTGGCCCCGCCCACCTGTCCAGTAGCAGCCTCTGAATCAGGAGAAGATACACATACATTTCCTCTGGGACAACTTCCTCCCTCCTGGTGCCCGACGGGGCAGGCTGGTGGGTTCGCAGCCCTTGCTTGGACTCCCTGCCCCGCTGACCCGGTGCTGGAACGGCCAGGAGCATGTGTTCTTGCCACAGTGCTCGGACACTGAAGTCAGGGCGCCAGATGACTTGTCCCAGGTCACACAGCCAGCGCAGACCCAGGGGTGGGGGTCTTTCCATGTCCCGGCGGGGCGTAGGTAGAGAGGGCGCCGGCTGGAACAAGTTGTGGCCCCTGGGTTGAGGCCTGGCCCTGCTGACCTGCCTCTTCCTTCAACCCTCAGAGAACTTCAGAGCCCTGTGCACCGGGGAGAAGGGCTTCGGCTACAAAGGCTCCACCTTTCACAGAGTGATTCCGTCCTTCATGTGCCAGGTAGCGGGGGCGTCTCCCTGCCTTGGGCTCCTCTTCTCGAAGTGGGAATAGTGACGGGGACGCCTCGAAGGATTCTCATGAGGATTAACCAGTGTGCATGTGCCTGGAAAGTACTGAATGGAGGGCAGCTGCGGTCACTCGTTCGGCCTGTCCTCTTACTCCAAGAGGCCGGAGCTTTTCCTGGCTGCCACAGAGCCTTCCCTGCCCCAGGGGTTAAGCAACAGGGCAGGCGGCAGGACGGGCCCTGCCTGGCGGGGTCGGGAGAGTGAAGCAGTGGAGGGAGAGCAGGCATCGGGGTGTGGATGTGCTCAGCGTTAGATCTGAACGCTTTGGAGGACCAGCACATTCAGACAGTCTCTGCCCATGCCCCACAGTGTGTCCCACTGAGCACTTGGCATGGGAGATAAGGCTAGAGAGGAGGAGGAGGGAGGAGACTGGGCACAGACAAGAACACACAGGTCTGGACTTGGAGCCTCTTTCCAGAGAAGGGCATCTTTCCCGGTTAAATGAGTCTGTTCTTTAGTCATGTCTGTCTCTTTTCAAAAGCATTAGTTTTGCTGTGTCAGATGTTTTGCAGGTAGGTGTTGAAAGCGAGAACTTGCCCCAGGGCCAGGACGGGGCCAGGACCCGAGCTATGCCGGGGGTTGTCCTGTGTGAGGTCAGACCCTGCTAAGACAGGGGCTAGTGTCTGAGGCCAGCAGACCTAGAGGCAGGGGCATGGATGTCATGACCTCTTTGAAGTCCTTTCAGCCTGGAATTCTCCTCCCCGCTTCCCTCCACCCCAACCCGGTGGCTGTCATCACATGGTGGTGAGTGGCAGTGGGTTGAATGTGACAAATTCAGGGAGGGGTGAGGGCTGTGGCTGTGAGACAGGCCTGGCCCTGCCCCGTGGCTCTCAGCTGCGGCGAGGCTGCGGATGAAGCAGGAGCTGAAGTGGTTGTCCCAGCCGGGCTAGGGTCTTCCTCGGAACCACAGCAGGCAAGGGCAGAGACTCCAAAGCTGGAGGGCTCTCGGAGGCATGGGATGGTAGCACCGGGACGCCCGGGCCAGAGTTTTGAATCATCCCTCTCTGGGGACACATTGGCATTTGGGGATGCTTCAGGTGGGCAGGGCAGGTCACCCGTGTCACCTGAGGATCCCACCTCAGGAAAACAGCAACATGACCATGGCCGGGGGCTGGGGCTCTGCTGCAGCTGGCAGCCCCTGGGCTCTTCTGACCGTGGCTCCATGGAAGCCTCAGGCGAGCTGTGAGGAATGACGCCAGCCCTGGCTGGGCTCAGTCCTGGGCCTGGGAAGGGGAGATGCTGGGACAGGGAGGGGGACTCAGTGTGGGGAACTGGCTCTGTGCTGGCTGCTGCCGCTTCCCACAGACCACACTTGGGAATGAGGGTTCCTGGTTTTCTCCCTATTTACCCTCCAAGAGTTGTGGGTAGAAAATTCTAGGTCACTAAGAAGCATCTCAGAATGGCCGAGATGTTTTTAAGGAGCATTTAAAAACTCGCTCAGACAAAAATGAATCATTCGGAAACCAGGGTAGTTATTGTGGCAGAAAATATCTAAGCTTTATCTTATTGTTGCTTATTTTCCTTAGCATTGTATTAGTCCTTCTATCATTGGATGGTTTTTGACCTCTTTGCCTGAGGGCTTCCGGCTGGGTGGGCCCTGGGTGGGCTGGGGGGCTGCGTCCTAGCGCTGGAGTAGCACCCCTCTGCCAGCTCTGGTGGCGACGTCTCAGCCGATGCTCTGTGCTCGCAGGCTGGGGACTTCACCAACCACAACGGCACAGGGGGGAGGTCCATCTACGGGAGCCGCTTTCCTGACGAGAACTTCAAACTGAAGCACAAGGGGCCAGGTGAGTGCAGGTCGCCAGTCCCGGGGCCATGTGCCCCGAGCTATGACCCTGCCTCTGCCATCCCAGCAGGCCTGGAGGCAGCAGCCTGATTGCCCCATATGATTGCTCCATATCTGACGTTGCTCCTTCCTTCCTTCAATGCTCTGGGTGGGCTTGTTGGGTTTTCCTAGAGCTTTTTCATTCTGAGCTCTCAGTTTCAAAACCGAACCTTCCTTTGAGAACCTGGGGGAGAGAGCCTTTAAGCAAAACCCCAGCGTTATGTCAGACCCAAGGCGCGACATGGGAAAGTCTAGAGTTCAGGGCTGGGGGTCCCGCTCCAGCTCTACCACTGAGAGCTTCCACGAGGCCCTTTTCTCCTGTGGCGGCAGAGGCGGACAGGCCCTGAGGAGCTGCGTCCTCTGGGCCCTGGTTCCCTCTTCTGAGCCCCAGGATCTTCTGGCTCAAGCATCTTTGATGTGGTTTCCCCCATCTGCTCATCTGAGTGACTCCCATGTGAGATGCCTCCTGGGGGCAGCCTGGTTATCCTGCTTGTGTTTGCAGGTGTCCTGTCCATGGCAAATGCAGGCCCCAACACGAACGGCTCCCAGTTCTTCATTTGCACCACAAAGACAGACTGGTGAGTTGCTTGCTTCTGGCTCCAGGCCCTCTGGGAAGATGGGGTGGCCTTGCAGTTGGAGGGGGAAGCTAGTTTGAGGCTGGACTCTGCTGTGGGACAGTAGCCCTCACCCAGGCTGTGTGTCTGTATGAGAGAAGGAGAAGGTTTGTGAAAGGATTGAGGGAGAATTTGGGTTATTCTTGTAACTGTCTTATTAAGCTTCCCATTGTTACTGTCAGCTGGAGTTTTCTCAGTGTGATTTGTGCACGTGTGCGCACGCACGCACACACACACACACACACACACACGGATTCTTTTACCAAATATATTTGTGAAATGCTGCGGAACATACTAGGCCTCAAGATGGCCTGTGGCAGAAACCTGTTTTCTTGGTTTAACCCGCTGTTTCCCTGGCTTACTTGACCTTGGAATGCACCTTGGAAAATGCTGCAGGAGACGTTTGGATATCACACCGGACTTCTCATCAGGTCTTAGCATGGGCCTGCAAATAGCTACCAGCCCCTTAGAGCCTCTTTTCCCAATGCCCTTGTTTTTTAGGTATGTTTCCCAGGTAAATTTTCCACTACCTAGTTTCTCTGCCCAAAGTCCCCTGTGTCCTAGCCCTGAGGCATCTCAGGGAGGTGAGGGGACAGCAGCTGGCCTGGAGCTAAGACTAAATAAAGCCCATTTTCAAGGACTTTAGGGAGACCTGGGTAGTGGGAGTTACTAGTGGTCTCTACCCTCCGAGCCAGAGGGACATGGATGTCAGGGTGGGCAGGTTGTTGCTGGCTCTGCCTGCCCTCCTTCCGTGGAACCCCTGGTGGATCCTGAGGTATAACCAGTTTTGGCCTTGCTGGCCCTGAACTAAGCTGCCCTTTAGATCCTTGGGACTGTTGCGGATTGAGAGCTGCTTGGGACTCTCATAGGTTCACCACGTGTATTATCTCGGCTCTCACCTCAGAATTTATGACTGTTAAGATGGTTCCATTTACACAGACCTCTTATTTCTTCAGAGTAGTTCAATATCCCTTTATCTCGCTGTGCAGAACGAGAATAATTCGCTTTTTGTAGGTGAGGTTCCCAGGATTCAGGTGAAGTGACCTGGGATTAGGTCACACAGCAGGTGAGGCAGAACGTAGCCTGGGAGGGAGCCGTCACCTGTGCTCAGCAAGGCTCGATACCCGAGCTGTGAGAGGTGGGGCCAGCTTTTCGGTATGGGTTCCTTTCAGAACTGCTGTTTTTGGTAAATGGTCCCATGACCAAGGGGCCGTGACCCGGGGCGACACTGCACCACCCTCGCTTCTGCTTACCTGGCTCACCTCTCCTCGCAGGCTGGATGGCAAACATGTTGTGTTTGGCCATGTCAAAGAGGGCATGGAAGTCGTGAAGAAAATAGAATCTCTCGGCTCCAAGAGTGGGAAGACATCCAAGAAGATTGTCATCACGGACTGCGGCCAGGTCAGCTAACCCGCCGTGGCCAGGGCTCTAGGCCAGCGGGAGCTGCTGGCAACAGGGAGTTGACTCACCCAAGCGGCCGCCTCGGGCTCCCAGCGCGGGGGCCCCTTGGAGTTGCCTGTGCTCCCTCCACCTCCTCTGTGCTTCTGGAAGGCCTCTCAGGAATGTCAGACCTCACAGGACCCACCGGGCTGCTTCCCCAGTGCCTGATCTTCCCCAGCGCCCTGTTTCTGGACACCCATCACGGACACTGTGTCACCGCTCCTCGTCTGGCATCTCCTGTGACCGCCCGGCCCAAGTTCACCTGTGCCTTGGACGTTGAGGGTGGTGATGGGTTAGCTCTGAAGGCAGTTTCTGCCTTTCCTTTGGCCAAGGGGGAAAGCCGGCTGCTGTAAAGGGCTGTAAGAGCTGTTTAATGTCGTCTTCCTAATCGGAATAATTCAGCAAGACTCCCTGGAGCTGGAGCTGTGGCACTACCTACTCCAGGCTGTGGTGTGACCTGAAATTGGTGGCACAGGCCACGAGCTTGGGCCTTTGGAGCACAGTCTGGGCGTTTGTGAAGGTGCCACGGCTGAGACCTTTTATCCCAGTCACTGTGAATCCCATTGGTTTGCTGGTCTTGTGTTTGGGGAGAGTCCATGGGGGTAGAATCAGCTGAACCTGGGGACAGACCCACTGCGAGCTGTGCCTAGTCAATGTGAATTCCCAAGTTGAAAACAGAAATGACTTGTAAGTGCCATGTGCTCTGGAAGGAAGTCAGTGTGTATTCCCTGGTGGGCTTTGATTTCTTCTGTGTGTCTTATAAATTATATCTACTGATTATATACACAATATACTTCTGGAACATTTCTTTGTGTTGAGCTTAAATGTGAAAATAAATCCTGTTTTCTATGAAAGACTGGGGTCCGTGCTTTAGGAAGCAGTGTCTGTAACAAGTATTTGGAGCTGACGTTTATTGTTACCACTGTCACTCAGTGCTCCACGGAGGGCCTTTCCGTGGACTCTCAATCCCCCCAGCAACCTATGAGGGTATTTCTCATCATCCTGTTTAACAGACAAGGAAATGGACTCAGAAAAATTGTCTTAGCGTTCACAGCCCATCAGAGCCCTGGTGCCGCCTCTGGGTGACAGAGCCTCAGTTTTGCTCAGCTGTATAATGGGGTGACAGTGCCCACCTCACAGGGTGATAAGGGTCAGACGTGATCTGTGTAAAGTGCACAGCACGGGCCCTGGCACATGGTCTTAGTAAGGCTCTGGAGTGATGAGGACAATATTTCCTGTGTGTCTGGGTCTTAGAGGAGGAGGAGCTGTGATTATCTCGGGCTAGACGTGGACTTCACTACCTTCGATGTGACGTTTAAATTTGGAGTTAAGTTACAGGTGTTTCTGAATTCACAGGGAGAGCAGATTGGGGGGGTGGGAGGAGGGCTAAAAATTTCCTTAAACAGCCAAGGGAGGCACAGTCCGAATACCAGAAGGATCACAGTGTAATTAGCATTGCCTCACGTTGGAGTTCCCTGAGTCTGATGATGTGTGGTCACAGGTCCTTGAAGGCATTCTGAGGTCACAGTGGCTGGACTTGGGTCATCTGGAATATGGGGTTCCCTGAGCTATGTGAGGTCATGATAGATGTAGTCACTCCGGGGTCATGGCTGGAGTTGGGTCATTGGAGTCATGGAGAGTTTCCATGAAGTCAGTTCAGCTACATGGGTTGGGAACTCAGCCGGCCTAACAGTTTTCAAACAGTTCTCGAGAGCCTTGGAGGTCCTCAGGCAAGGGCCCCTGAACCCCCTTTGAATCATCAATACCCTCTGTTTTCTAAAAGGGATTTCGTTTGAAGAATGGGATCCTAAGCCAAATAATAATGGGTTGTTGCTCGACCCTTCCAACCAGCATTTTACAGACGGGTAAACTGAGGCCCCGAGAGGGGACATGGTTGCCCAAGGTGACCCCGTGAGTCAGTTGGCAGAGCAGGGGCTAGAACCCCGGACCTGCCAGTCCAGAGGGTTTTCTGTTGGAGGCCTTTCGGGATGCACAGACCCCTTTGTCCTCAGATCACACGCAGTCAGAGCTCTTCTGATTTCTGAGGTCAAAGCCGTGATTTTGGTCCCAGTGGAGTTTCCTCTTGACCTCTGGGGACTCTAGGGAGGCAGTGGTGCTGTTGACAAGTGTGAGGGTCAGCTCCTTGAGGTGTGACCCACTGGCCCCCTGGTGACTTCTGAGGGGTCTCGGGGTCACAGAACATGTGGGGCATGTGTTTAGTTCACAAAGCATTTCCTTTCCAATGAGGAGGAAGCACGTGTGCGTGCGTGTGTGTGTGTGCGTGGGTTTGTGTGTGTGTGTGTGTGTGTGCACACGCGTGTGTGTGTGTGTCCGTGCAGAGGAGTCTGGTGTGGGCTAGCGGAAGAGAGAATGCAGGAATTTCCTAAAAACAGTTTCCTGAAGGGGGTGCTCCCTGCAGTTCTCTTCCCAGAACTCTTGCACAAGGGCCTGAGAGTGGTCTTACTACACAAAGCGGGAGCCTGTGTAATACACAGATAGGATATTGACTTCTTGCTGGTACACGGTGCCTAATGCATGAAGGGAGCAGTGAGTCATACACGTGCTCTCACAGATGGAATCATATGTGACGCCATGTAAATTCACAATGTGTTTAAATATCTGAAATAGCATTTTTATGAGACAACACATGATAGCTTTTCAAAATGACTTCACTGAGGTATAATTTACATACAATAAAATTCACACATTTTAAGTGTGCAGATCAATCACTTGACAAATTCATACACTGAGTAACCACCACCAAATTAAGTTATAGAACATTTCCATCTCCAGAAAGATACCTCTGTGCCTGTTCTATCACTGTAGATTAATTTTGCCTGTTCTAGAACTTTGTGTAAATGGAATCCTACAAGATTTACTTTTTGTGTCTGACTTCTTTCGTGTACCATGTATGAAGACGTGGGAGAATTTAACACACTTCTGGGCTTTATAGAATGTTGCTCCATGATGAGGAATGTCAGTAAATGTTTCCAAGGTCTGCTAAGGCCTAAAGCAATGCTTCTCCTGGGAATCATGGGGTGCTGGGAAAGCATGCAGATTCCTAGGCCGCGGCTGAGCCCTGTTGAATACCAGTCTCTGAGGGTGGGATCTAGGAATCTGAATTTCCAAATAATAATAATTCAACTAAAGTTTAAGAATTTGAGTGTAGGCCAGAAGGGGCAAGATTGAAAAGGGAGACCACCAGACCGCTCGAGTCATTGTCGACTCGCTGAAACACCTGTTGCTGGACGCGCCGCCACTTGTAAAAGATGCTTCACTTGAGGAGTCTGACCGATAACTCTTGGGTGGTGGGCAGGGCACCCTGTGCAGCCCAAGCTTCGCGGGGGCTGGTGGGAAGCTGTGCTCTTCCATAACTGCTTCCCAAAGCCTCAGCCGATGGAGAGGCCTTTCAGGGGAGGAGTTCCCATGGTGTAGCCCTCGGTTCTTCATTTCTCGTCAGGAGGAGGGTCTGGCTTTGGTGGGCCCAGACTGGAGAACATTTCTCAATGAATAGCTTCTGGAGGCCGCGAGTCAGATCCATGTCCAAGGTCCACTGGAACAGGGCGGATAGAGAAAGTCTTGGTTCAATGCTGTGTTCTGCTGGTTGCATATATCTGTGAATATACTAAAAAAAAAATCGAATTATATACTTTAAGTGGGTGAGTTGTATGACACGTGAACAATATCTCAATAAATCTGCTTAAAAATATGTGTTAGTAAATTCTCAGAATTCTTTGGGTGTGTAAGCTGTTTTTCTGGAGTCCTGTCCCTCTGGAAAATGCTGAGATTTGACCCCGTTGTGGAAGTGGTTTGGTGGGTCTTGGGCATTGCCTTTCAAAGCACCTGTCCCAGGTGAAGTTACCACAGCGTTTTTAGACAAAGAAGTCTGTTCTTCTCAGACACAGAAGGGCAAGCTACTTGCACAGGCAAGGGAGGCATGGAGTGACGGGAGGATTCAAGTTGTTAGTTTCATTTGGACCCAAACAGATGTCTCCATTACGAATTTCAGGATCCCACTCTTTCCCACCGATGCCCTTTCACACGAAAAACTTGGTGAGACTGTGAATTCAAACGTTATTGTAATTCAGCAAGCTACACAATTAAATTTTTGTTTGATTTTAAGTGATTATCAGTCTAGGGTCTACAAGAAGTGAGAGATGTTTTAGAGGTGTCACGGAAGCTTTCTGGTTCTCAGACCTTAACGTAAGCTGAGAATTAAAAGACATGAGTTTGTTATCGTCTTTTGGTAAACAGTCAAGCATGCTCGAAATAATTCACCCCACACTATTGTCCTTATGGCCATCGATACTGCCATAACTGTCAAGTGTACAGCCACCTGGCCTCCCAAGGCACATGCTTCTCTCGTCACTTAACCACAGGTGACAGCATGATTAATTGTGATGTCACTGCATGCCAAAAATTACCATCACTCCACTTCCAATTAGCAGGTAGTTCAGCCCTGCCTTCAAGCCCAAGGGCACAGCCCAACAAATCTCGAAATCCCATCTTTGTGGGGTTATCTCCTAGGACCACTGCCTGTGTCAACTCTTTATTGATCAGGGTCCAGACAGGATACAGAAACAACAGAGTAATTCTAACAGGGAAAGTTTATTATCAAAAATTATTAACCGGGGCTTCCCTGGTGGCGCAGTGGTTGGGAATCCGCCTGCTAATGCAGGGGACGTGGGTTCGAGCCCTGGTCCGGGAGGATCCCACATGGCGCGGAGCAACTGGGTCCGTGTGCCACAACCACTGAGCCCGCGTGCCACAGCTGCTGAGGCCCGCGCGCCTGGAGCCGGTGCTCCGCAACAGGAGAGGCCACCGTGGTGAGAGGCCCACGCACTGCAGTGAGGAGTGGCCCCTGCTCGCCGCAAATGGAGAAAGCCCACGCACAACAAAGACCCAACGCAGCCAAAAATAAATAAATTAAAAAAAAAATTACTGACCATAACATAGGTTAACCTTCTAAAGGGAAACAAGAACTCTGAACAAAGTGTCTCTCCAGTGCCCTCTATTGATAAAGCTTAATATAATTCCGGGTGGTAAGAGAGAACTGTTACAGTATCACAAACAGGGCAACGAAGGGAGGATTTAGAGCTAA